CACTTTGGTCGTAGATAGATTTACCTGCTTCTGCTGGCTGGTGTCATCTACTAACAACAGTCCCAACACCTGTTCAGATACCTGCTATAACCTCTCCTCAATGGAATTACTTTCCCAACACCACCCACAATGTCTGCAAACAACAACTGTTATCTACTGTCTAAACTGCACCACCAAGAAACTCAACACTGTTCCAACACCTCAATGCAACATTCCCAACACCTGCAGATTAACATCCAAACATCTTCCAAATGCTACCCTCTGTGATAGACTTATGCGTGTGAAATTAAACATTTGAAAGTTTCAGTTCAGATGTAAGAAGTCCTCTCAAATGGTCCCTGTTTATATGTCAGGTGTTTCATTTAAACCCCTGTGCTTCCCTCAGGCCCCGCCCCTCTCCCTCCTCAGGTGGACTGTCACCTGATCGTTGGCGTTTCTTATCAACACGAACCGACAAGTAAATCAATTAATTAAAGTGATATACATTTTAGTGTTATATCAATGACGTTGTTTGAAAGGTGTGTTTGAATGTTCAGATTCAACCCAACGGTGACTACCAACTAGTAACTAGTCTATTAAACATTACATTCATTTAGCTGAAGCTTTTATCCAAAGTGACTTACATTGCATTTTTAACCCAAGGTTTACATTTTGCCCGGGGAGCACTTAGGGGTTGTGTGTCTTGCTCAGGGACACTTTGACATGAAGCAGCCAGGGTTCAAACCAGCAACCTTGCGGTTCCCAGTGCAACCTCTATTCATGCGCCACCATCATATGTCCTATATTATTAGTAGCTTTATTGTCCAGAATGAACTAAAAACGCATATGAAGCACAATCTGGCATTGGGTGAAATTCTTCTTTGTTATCATGAACATTCACTGTAGTTTGAAAAGCAAACAAACAAAACCACAAACACCCACCTGAGCATTCATTTGCTACTCTACAAATCGACTGTTCCTCTTAGATTAGATGATTAACTATAGTGAGTCAGGGCTCAGGCTTACTTTTCCACTAGTGCTACTAACCTTTCTGAGTTGGTAGCCACTTCGGCTGCTTCATTTCCTTTCTAAAGAAATTACCAATCCAGTTGCCGAATATCTGATGTAGAATAATTGGATTTGACCGACTTGTTCAGGTGGCTATTACTTGTTCTAAGGCACAGGTGCCAAACTCACGGCCGAATCCGGCCCGCGGGGGGTCCAGTGCGGCCCGCCGGATGACTTTGCTATTGTTGGAGTTACAGAAAGACATAAATTGCATTTCTATAAAAGTAGCCGCTGTTCCAAAGAAGTCAGCAGGGGGTTTCACTCTGAGTGAGCGCATGCGTCAGACCAGGGGACCCGGTCGTTGTCCAACGCAGTGCCGGTAGATCACCTGCCAATAAAGAAAATAAAAAATCACGTCAGATCAGCACACATGCGCGGCCGCTTCTGACAGGGAGGCCTGTTTTTTAATATTGATTCGTTTTGCGCTCCAGCTGTGCAGCGCTGTTCTTCCGTTTGGTTACCGCTACTGCTCGTAATTGTTATTATTCGAGCGAACTGTCTGAGCGTGGGGGGGGGGGGGGTGTAGGTCAAGCTTAGCTTCTGTAGGACCTGTCCCCCCGAGGTGGAACCCTTCACTTTGAGAAACACCCCTTGTAGAACTCATTGGTGGTTGGAGTCTAAACAAGAGTTTTAACGGTTTTCACTTCACGTCTCTCTCTCCTTCTCTGTGTTTCAGGTCTGAACTCTCCAATCATGTCGACTGCATTGACAGCAGTCTGGAAAACCTGCAGAGCATCCTGAACACACAAGCCTTCACCTTCGACACCTCTCCGCTGATGGAGGTCTGTCTTACACAGTATTAGCTATTCATGTTAGCATGTGTCAGTGTTACACACTGAAAGACGACAGTCTCCGTTCAGTATTCCAGATGGGTGTATTCTGTGAAGACAGCAGACGGTCAAAAACAAACTACAAACGACTGTCTGTCCTTCTGACGCTGATCTGTGTCACTTGTTCTATATATGTGTGAACACACAACCTGAACATACGAGATAACACCGGCAACCGGCGCTACATTCGTCCCAAATCACCAGCGTGCGAAAAGCCAAGAATGCCTCAAGTTAGCAGTCCTCCGTCCCAGCACACTTAATAACTGAACATTAAGACATGAAAGCGGGCGAACTAAGCATACATTCTCAACGACTGTCTGTCCTCCCGAAGCTGGTTGAGCCTAGTTTATGCTTCTGCGTTTTCAGAGCGATGCAGACGCAAGACCTCCTTGCGTGTCTTTTCACGCCTCCTTGCGTGTCTTTTCACGCCTCCTTGCGTGTCCCTTGCGTGTCTTTTCACGCCTCCTTGCGTGTCCCTTGCGTGTCTTTTCACTAGGCTGCGTGTAAAGCGACGCAGCGTCCTGCAGCACCAGGCTGTGATTGGTCTCTGACTACGTCCTTTACGGAGTCTCACGTCTCCGTTTTCACAGCACAATACGGCCGTTATTAAAAGGAAGGACGTTTACGAGAGAACGGATCAGATTGAAGAGCTTTTAAATATGAGCGCTTGTACAAGCCGTCATTGGCGGACTATGAGGACGCCGGATGGCCTCTGATTCATGGAGGGAGATCTCCACAAACGAGGGGAACAAAGTCGTGGAGGAAAATACGGGACAAATGTGTCCTTGATGCAAAGCAGCAGTGTGGATGCACGGGGCAATAAAGTCTATGATACATAAATAAAGCAACCAGCGACTTCCACACACAAAGACGTGACTCTCCAGGTCGTCTTCAACAAAACACGTGACTCCACCTGTTGTTCTGGAGGTGAATCGCTCTGCAACACACGCACGACTTTACAACCAGGAAGTGAAACCAGTGCGTCGATGCGTGAAGACGCAGAAATACGCGGCAGGCTTTACAGCGCCAGCCATGCCCACCGCCACTGCCACCCACTGGTGGAAACGGGTGCTGTCCCGCAGAAAACAGGCAGCCTCAAAAAGCCACACAAGGGTTTTCAAACACATTCATTAAAACGAACACAGTGGCAGGGGAATGGCACTAAACAATGCCAGACCTTAAAATGTCCAGGGTGCCACATCAGACATATTAAAACTGTATAATAACATCTGTCAGAAATATTAAAACAATATAATAACATGTTTGTGATATATTAAAACTATATAACATCTGTCTGACATATTAAAAGTATATATTAACATGTGTCAGACATATTTAATCTATATAATAACATCTGTTGGATATTAATGATATACATTTAGATGCATATAATGCTCTTACAGTCAGTGTTTGCTCTCTGTAGCTCAGTTTGTAAAGCATTCTATATGTTAAATAACGTTATCTGTCTTTGTCAGTTCTTCAGTTCTTCTTGTTCCTCGGGAGACTTCGATCTGGACAGTTTGGACACTGTGAGTTAAAAACTAGACTGGTTTTGTGTATTGACAATGAAAACGTGTACATAAATCATATAAATCATATCAACTTACAGGTGTATTTTGATCCTATATAAGTCACATGAATATGCAGGTCCATTTTGATGATATAAATAATGTATATGTATGTATACGGTTGAGGTTTTAGATTTGTCATATTGTTGTGATGTATAGGTACATAATGACATCTGTTGGTGTTTTATGATGACCTCATAGCCACATGTCACGTCGTTGTTTCCTCTCAGCTACTGTCAGAAGACGTCCCCAATGGAAGTGTGGAAAGCAGCAACTCCATCAATGCAGGTAACTTCCATTCTCTCTACACCTCTGTACATGTGAGGACCCTCTTTGAACTTGATATCGTGGTGACTGCCTGATACTCTGGTGCAGGGAAGCAGCTTGTGCAGTTCTCAGCCACACCTGTCCTGATGTCTGAACCAATCAGCTCGGAGGCCGACCTGCCCTCCCTCCTAGAGCTGGAGGCGGGGCCTTTCTTCATCTCTGACTCTCCCACTGATGATCCTGCTGATGCTCTGCTAAGCCCATCAAAACTGGACTCTGACCTCTGATGTCATCAGCAAGAAGAGCGGTGTGGAATGAGATTTATCAGTCACCATAGCAACAGGACAGTGGGAACGCTGCCTCCGCAGCTGCAATAGACAATGAAGTTGATTGACCATCTGTTTATAGATCTCTAGATCAAAGGTCAAGTTGTATTATGCAGATTACTATTAACCAGTTTATACCTGTGTCTTTTTCTTTAGTGCTTGCTTTTTCTTCTTTGCTGCTTGATTTAAAAAAAACTCCACTCCGAGGTCACAGGTGTTAATGCATTATGTTACTTCTGCATGTTTAAATCTTGGTTTTTATGTGTCAAACATGAGAAGAGAATAGGAATATATTTTGAAAATGTTATTGTTAACCAGAAGTTACTATTTGACAGAGATGTATCAATCTGTTGAATCAATATCCGTCAGATCAAACCGCAGCCATGATTTGTGTCATACCATCCTGTCTAAGAGAATCAATAGCGGTTCACAATTTTTTTTCTATCTCTTATTGAAGCTTTTCTGGTAGTTATTTTGTTGGAATAAAAACAGATCTGAGTTAATGAATCCATATAGTTATTCATCTTATTTAACTGTCAAACAAAACTACTCGGCGTGGACAACGCCATGGTGACATCTCAAGTTTGGCGTTTTGGCCGTGGCTATTCTTAAGACTTCTCAACCAGTGAACAGGCCCTTATCAGGACTGAGGAGGACCTAGAGACCATGCTGCATTGATGACAACTTGAAACTTGAGATTGAGGCCATAAACACACGTTTACAATGTTTACTGAGGGAATAAATCAAGACCGAAGTAAAATAGTAATTTTACCATAGGCTTCTATTGGACTAGAGGCCTCGCCCCCTGGTGGCTGCTAGAGCCAATGTAGCTTTAACATTTTAAAGCGCTGACGTTTTTCTCCTGGTTTAAAACCTCAATGGTTTGAGTAGACTCACTTATCCAAACAGATCAGATTATCACCATTATTATCAATATCATACAGAAACTAAAAGACACTTAGTTTAATGTTCGAAATAGACATTTATTGTAGAAGTTTACAATCCTGATTGTGAAGAGGAAGTCAAATCAGAAACATGGAAAAATTAGCTGAAATTTTTTTTCCATAATTTTTCTCTAAGACAAAATACAATTCTATAAACAGAATTCCACATTTTAAATATTAAAAAAAAAACACCAATGAGTTGCTGGCACTCAGTGGGCGTGGCCTACGGCTAGTGGAAGGGGGTTGATTTCCTCGGCATTGCTGATTTGTCGGTACACTGGAAGCTGTAGCGCAGGAATCGAACTTGCGGCTTTATGTGGAAGTCAGCAGGTATCCTCCAATTCCACATTTTTTGTACCTGAAAACCCCAGAATAAGACTGAGCTCTTTACACATATTTACTGTACAAGTTAAAATTTGAAAACGAGCATTTCCATTAATTATCATTAATGACATTGAACAGAAATGATTTGTTGGTTAGCTAAACTTTGCTTAACTCTGGGGTCTGATACGATGGGATTTTGTACAGCAGCGTTCAGTACGGTAGTGTATGGTACGACGGCATTTGGTATGTAGGATGTGGTACGGTAGTGTTCGGTAAGCTACAGGGGGGGGGGGTTTGGGACAGTAGTGTGTGGGACGGTAGAGTTTGGGCAGTAGTATTTGGGACGGTAGTGTTTGAGGCGTTATAGCTGTTCAGCTCTATGAAGTCGTCAGTGTCCTGGAAGAACTCATCTAATCCTCCAAAGGTGTTTCCAGAATACCAAAGAGGAGGAGCCATTAGACAGCTTCCCACATAGCAGTCTGTCCCTACACCATAAATACATCAGTGGCTGAGAGACATGTCCTCATAAAGACGTCAGATCATGCTTACGAACCTTCAGGACCCTGACCAGATGGGTAGTACTGTTCAGTGACTTGACCTGCAGAGAGCAAGCAGAACCAAGAGAAGAGAAAGAACAAGGCTTCAGCACCTGATCTCAGGAAAGAGGAAATGTAACAAAGAACCTGAAGGAGACGAGTTACGCCAGACTAATGCAAACCTGAACAAGACTAGCTAATGAAAGGAGATGAGTTAATAGCAACCCTTAAAACTATGTAACGCTAACCATTAAACAGATTAGTTAATGCTATTGCAATAAGGGGTATGGTGTCTTGCTCAGGGACACTTCAACATGGGACATGGTGCAGCCAGGGTTTGAACTGCCAACCTTGCGGTTCCCAGCGTACCCTCTCTACTCCATGGGCCACCACTATAAACACTTATTAACTAGCCTGACTTAAAGCTGCTCCTCTTCCACACACACACACACACACGTAAGCACGCACACGATTGGTTCCAACCACAAAATTTGTAAAACTTACCAGCCATCTGTGTGTGATCCGTCACAGCTGGATGACCTGTCATAGATACACACAAAGGGGATTAACAGTTTCTACTGTATCGCACACTAAAACAGTGTAAATAAGTGTAACTTACTGAAGTCAAATGGAGTTCCTGTTGGATCTGCTGAAACTGCAAAAACAAGCAGTTTGACTATAGGTTTGACCTCCGACCTGTCCGTCAGCCATGTTGGATGGTGGAGCTTACCTGTGTATGTCCCTGTGGAGTCTGTTGCCATGCTAACCAGCTCTGTGTGGGAGTACCCATGCGAAACTTAAAAAATAATGAAACAACAGGCTATGAGACAGATGAATAGATGACAGAGGGGTAAACAGACAGAATTGTGCGTCAGACAGATTAACAGACAGAAAAGTGTATGTCTGTCAGACAGTTGTGTATGTCAGACAGCTGAACAGGCAGTCTACCTGAGGGCAGTGTGTCTGTGTGGAGGACAGCGAGGGGCGACACTGTAACATGATAATGTTACAGGAAGTGAGGGCCAAAGGTGACTTTAGAGCTTGCAAGTAAACCAAACATTAAGCCATATTGTGTGGTCTCCATAGCAAAAACTCTTACCTGTGACATTTGGCTGAAGTCCAAGACCTGACGCTGTAACCAATAATAAAACACAGTCAGCTTTATGTTGATCAATGTATTGATATCTTCCTCATCATTTCTCTCTCACCTGTGAGCTCGGTGTGAAGACCGGACTCCGCTCCACTTGCTGACATTACCAGAACCTCTAATTCATCCATAAATGAATTAATGACTTCAGGCAATTGTTTTCATTTAATTTATTGTGGACTGATAATCAAGTCAATTTAAGTTGGAAAGTAAGTAGTAAGAAAGTTTACCTCCGTTTGTGTTCGTCAGCAAAGTCTGTCGACCGATTCCTTAGGAACACAAACTGTCAGCCAATCACAGCCTTCAACACGCTCAGACTCATCATTTCGTGGCCATACTTTATTGATTGGGGGGGGGGTCGTTCATGAAATCGACCCGACCAACATTGTTAAAATTGGTAAAGTGAAATGAGAAAAGACATTTTTTGCATATTCGTGGTTCAGTGTCAAGATGTTCGGTCAGTAGATTTATCCCCATTTACAATGGGGATAAAACTCCTTTTGCAAAGACAGTTTATTGCCAGTGAAAAGTGTTAATATAAAATGAGTTACGATTGAAAGTGTGAATGAAATACATGGAAGTGGGATGTATGACTCAATATAACCAAAGCCTCCAGTGATAGGGTTGCCACCCGTCCCTTAAAATACGGAATCGTCCCGTATTTGAGAATAGAATAACACGTCCGGTTTGTCCCGTATTTTCCGAGCTGTTGTCATTGCAGCATCCATTCGGCCCCCTATTGGGTAATACTCGCTACCATCGTTGGTTTGATTAGCCGTGAACCTGAAATGAACCAATCAGAGTCAGAGGAGGGCGGGACTCTTGGACCACCCGTCGGCTCTGTCGTCGTCGACCCTCCCCCTGTCGGCCATAGCGTCCCTTATTTTTCTGTACTAAAGGTTGCAACCCTATCGAGTGATCAATAATTGTTTGTGAGAGAAGAATACAATGAAATCTTACCGTTAGTGTTGGGTAGGTCGGCTCCGTCTGTGAGCACACATAAAAAATATATAAACTGTAGGCTTATTAATTAATTTAGTTAACATATAATTTATGAAGTGAGAGTGATATAATACTAAAGTAGTACAATCGCAAAGCAGCCGGTCCGGACTGAAGTATTGTGCTGACCAGCTGTCTCCGGTGTTCACAGACATCTTCAACACCTCCCTGGAGACATGCCACGTACCAGCCTGCTTCAAGGCCTCCACCATCATTCCTGTTCCCAAGAGGCCCAGGATCACAGGACTCAATGACTACAGGCCCGTCGCCCTGACCTCTGTAGTCATGAAGTCTTTTGAACGGCTAGTCCTGACCCACCTGAAAACCCTCACCGACCCCCTCCTGGACACTGCAGTTCGCCTACAGAGTGAACAGACCTGTAGATGGTGCTGCCAACATGGCCCTCCACTACATCCTCCAGCATCTGGACTCCCCAGGGACCTACACCAGGATCCTGTTTGTGGACTTCAGCTCTGCCTTCAACACCATCATCCCGTCTCTGCTGCAGGACAAACTCTCCCAGGTGCACGTGCCCGACTCCACCTGCAGGTGGATCACAGACTTCCTGTCTGACAGGAAGCAGCACGTGAAGCTGGGAAACATGTCTCAGCCTCTCGGACCATCAGCACCGGTTCCCCCCAAGACTGCATTCTTTCCCCTCTTCTCTTCTTGTACACCAACAGCTGCACCTCCAGGCACCAGTCCGTCAAGCTCCTGAAGTTTGCGGATGACACCACCCTCATTGGACTGATCTCTGGTGGGGACGAGTCCGCCTACAGGTGGAGTCTGACCATCGGGTGTCGTGGTGCAGCCAGAACAACCTGGAGCTCAACGCTCTAAAGACAGTGGAGATGGTTGTGGATTTCAGGAGGAACAGAGTCCCACCCTCCCCCATCACCCTGTGTGACTCCCCCGTCACTATTGTGGATTCCTTCCGTTTCCTGGGCTCCATCATCACCCAGGACCTCAAGTGGGAGCTGAACATCAGCTCCATCACCAAGAAGGCTCCGCAGAGGTTGTTCTTCCTGAGGCAGCTGAAGAAATTCAACCTGCCAATGACGATGACGGTCCACTTCTACACAGCCATCATCGAGTCCATCCTCTGCTCCTCCATCACCGTCTGGTACGCTGCAGCCACAGCCAAGGACAAGGGCAGGCTGCAGCGTGTCCTCCGTTCTGCAGAGAGGGTGATCGGCAGCAATCTGCCGTCCCTCCAGGACCCTGAAGCGAGCTAAAAAGATTGTAGCCGACCCCTCTCACCCCAGACAAAACTTGTTTGTGCCCCTGGCAGGAGGTTGAGGTCAATCAGGACCAAGATCTCACAAGACCACACAAACACTTATTTTATTTACTTTTTAAACTTTTATTTTTAATTTAAATCCCTCTTGCACTGTGTTGTCTTATCTGTCTTGTTGTCCATTGTCCTACTGTCTGATGTTATGCACCAACCGCCAAGTAAAATTCCTTGTATGACATTTTTTGGTAATAAATGATCGAGATTCCTGATTCCAGTAATTCTGGTTCTAATACTACAAAAAAACGTAGTATGTTGTATTAGTGTCACAACTATCAGGGTGTACTTTAGTTCCAAGGATGTCTCTATAAATGGTTGCCCAGGTACTGATTCAGGCTCTTGTCATCTCCCTCCTGGACTACTGTAACTCTCTCCTGCAACCACCATTCCACCTCTGCAGCTCAACCAGAATGCAGCAGTTCTCCCACACTCCTCCACTCCTCCGCTCTCTTCACTGGTAACGGTGGCTCATCCAGTTCTAAACACTGGTACTCACGTACCATGCTGTGAATGGATGGGGTCCAGCTTACATCCAGGACCTGGTCCAACCCGACATCCCGACCTGCACTCTCCGCTCTGCATGTGATAAACTGCTTGTTCCTCCTCACTGAGAGCAAAACACTCGACTAGATCACGACTCTTTGCTGTTCTGCTCCGAAATGGTGGAACGAGCTCTCTGAAGACATCAGGACCGCAGAGAGCCTTCACATCTTCCGCCGCAAACTAAAGACACACCTCTTCAGACTCTACCTCGACTAAAAGACTAACAAATTGATGCACTTAAATTGTACTTATAACGCCATCTATAGCAAATTGTAAATTGGCTTATTTGAGGAAAATGCACTTTCTTGTTTCTTGTTCTTCTGAGTTTGTACCCTATGGTTGAATGCACTTATTGTAAGTCGCTTTGGATAAAAGCGTCAGCTAAATGACATGTAATGTAATATAAATCATTAAAGTATAGGTGTCAGTTTACGTCGAAAAGGTTGATTTTAATTCTCATATATTTGTTCTAATAAAATCCAGGGATTCACTAGGTGGTAGCTTTCGGTCTTTTTGGTGTGCACAGGTGACTTGATGTGCATACAGGTGTGTACAGTTGAGTACAGGTAAGTACGTTTGCCACTTGTGTAAAGGTAAATACAGGTCAGTACAGAGGTGGAAATGGGTGTACTGGCAGGATACAGGTGCGTACAGGTGTGCTTGCTCACCTGTCTGTACTCTTTGAGCTTCACTGTGGGATGAAGATGATGAATCTGCTACATCTGATGGCGAAAAACAGAAACAGTATATATATTATTTGAAACTTGAGTAAATGAATAAAAGTTTTTTGTAATTTCAGAAAAAAATTATCCGTTTACACAGTAAAAATCTTCCTTGAGCTTCAGAGTAAACTTTTTGTTGTACTAACCCCCCTGGACTGCAAAGTGGGAGAAGCCTGAGACAGAGAAAGAGCTGGAATGTGATTGGTCGGGCGCTGAGCTCAAAGAGCTGTGGTCTGGTCCTGATTGGTTGATGCTGATGTCAGAGTGATAAGCAGGATCTTCACAATCAGGACAATGGCAGGGGAGAAGAAACAGGTTAGTTTTATCTTCCTCATCTCTTCATGATTACTGCCATCAAAGATAATACCAAGAGTCTCCATGTTCAGACCCAAGTGACATCACTTCCTGTACTTGTCATGTACATGTCAAGATTTAAAACTGAATCCATCAACAAGTTCCTCTTCAAACCAGCATCAGTAAGGACTACGTTGATTCATCTTATTACATCAATTATATATGTCTTTTGCATGTGTCAATTAAACTTTTAAAGAGAAGATATTATGAATCTGTCTTTGCTGACAGGACATTTACCATAGTCCTTCAAGGTAGCTTCAACCTTTCTTAAAAACCTTCTCTTTCTCCACAGGTGTTGGCTATCTATAGACCTATGTATTATCTTCCCTTCCCCTCTAAGATCCTTGAGAAATCTGTTGCAAATCAGTGATGTCACTTTCTACAAAAAAAGTGGTTTGTTGTATTGTATTGTCATTGTATCCTGTTGCAGAGACTACATCATTTGATTGGTATTAAAAGGCCGCTGGTTTAAGTTGTATACATCAGATCGATCCCAGTTTGGGGGCGACCGTGGCGCATGGAGTAAAAAGCATGTGCCAGTAACTGCAGGGTGCTGCTCCATGTCAAAGTGTCCCAGAGGTGGTCGTGAGGGGGGAGATTGGCAATGGATCTTTCCTCTGTTGACCTCGGAAGTTTCTTACTTTTTCCTTCCTGTTCTTGACAAGGGTTGAAAGTCAGAGGTCGGAGGATATCATGTGTATGGATTGTAAAGCCGTTTGAGGCAAATTTGGGTTTTGGGGAAAATAAACAGTCTATTACAGTGAAACTGCTGCTGACAATTTGAGGTCTTAAGACGTCCTGTTGGTGTTCCTCATCCTTTTATACAAAAACATTATAAAAAAGAAAAAAACAGTAAAGGCTGTTTCAGATTTATTCGATTAATAGACATTCGGGATGAAAAACCAATAAGGCCATTTTTACTGCAAGAAATGCTTTGAAAAAGACCATCTTTACCACTTCGTAGTGAATTAAGAAGAAGAAGAAGGAAGAAGAAAGCATCCTTCATTAATCCCGAGACAGCAGCACACTGCTGTAAGGCCACCGAGGGAGAAGTTAGGGGTTAGGTGTATTGCTCAGGGACACTTCGACATGGGACACGTAGGCCAGGGATTGGACCGCCGCATTTATTTATATTAAAAGTTTCTCTGTGGGGCTTTTGACAGTTGATATTAATAGGTCCCAATTAGTCACATTATCCCTTTTATTGGATCAATACCTGAAAGAGAGTCCAGACTGAAACCGCTGCTCTTATCCACAGACTGAGCTGCTGTCACACCCGAACTGATCACTACAACATGAACAACAACCACACTGATCAATGATACAGATGATCAAAACTTATCCGTAATAAACATCATAGAGGAGTATGAAGAAACGCACCTGTGGAATCCAGCGGACCTAAGAAAAAAACAGGATAGTTTGTCTTAAACTTAATATAAAGTCAATATATAAAGTAATTGTTACCTTCTATCATCACACTGTAATAATAACGCTCAAATTTTTAAAATGTTGGAAGTTGAGACAAACAGCGTCGTTCCACTTCATTGGCATGGTGATAAAAGTGTATTTAGGATAAAAAATAATAAAAGATTCCTGGCATACACAGGCTGTGTACTACATCTTGGCTCTCTCCTTTCCGTCACTTCTTGTTGTCTCATCTTTGTACTTTCTGTCCCATTTTGAACACATTTTCTGTCTCTCCTTCAACAGTCTCCGTTCATACTTATTTTTACAATTCTGTACTTACCACAGTGACAGTGTTTCTAAATGTTTTATTTTTTTGTTTCACAGTCACTACAGGATTAAGGATGTTTCAAGGTGTTCTCATTCTGTACTGTATTAGTTCATGTGTGAATTTATATACTCACTTTGTGAGTACAGTGTGATTTTAGTAGTATCTGAGGTGCTTATAAGTTCAATTTAGCCAGTTCTTAATGATTTTATTCTTTTCATTCTTCTACATATGTGTTTAAGTTTTGTTCTTGTTCTTCAGGTAGAAAAGAGACGGATCAAGTAGACCGACAGTTAAATATAGAGAGAAACAGGTACGTATACAAACAGGTAGAGGTAGACACAGAGGGAAATAAAGAGTGACAGGTGGATGAAGAGACAGATCAGTTAGTAAACTGACCAAACTTTACTTACTTTGATTTAATTTGGTTCCCACCTCTACCCCCGCCCTCTGCAACTTACCTGTCTGACTGTCAGCTCCGCCCCCTACATCCCCTCCATTCATCAGTTTCTGTCCGTTACCTAAAAAATACAGACCAATTGAACTCATTTGAAACTCTTTTAATTTTTCTCAGTGAGTGTATGTGTGTGTATTTAATGTATTTACCGTTGGACTCTGAGTCCACTCCGTCAGAACCTGCAGAAACAAAAAGATGTTTAACTCTCGTTTACAGATCGACTCTGTGGCTGTAATATCATCATGTAAAACAAAGATATTGTTGCTTCCCTACCTGTCTACCTAACAACCCGTCTGTGTGTCAACTTACCTGTCTACCTACCTGTCTTTCTACCTGTCTGTCTACCGACCTTTGGACTTCATACTTTTACCACGCTGTTTTTTTAGGTTAAAATCTAAAATACTCTTTCCTTGGACGTCATGTTTCGATTAATTTATTTATTATTAATTAAAAGGTTGTGATTATAGATGTATTGATTTTTGATTACCTGGTTGTGATTATGGATTTGTTTATTTATTGATTACCTGGTTGTGATTATGAATATGTTGATTACCTGGATGTGATTGTAAATGTATTGATTATTTATTACCCTTTTAGGATTATGGTGTTTATTGATTACCTGTTTGTGTTGTTGAGCTGCTCTCAACTCCAGCTGTTGAAAAACAAAAACGACAAACGACAAACAAAAAACTTTGAACAAGAACAATTTAAAAATAGTTTTTTCAGCTCTGATGAATTAAACAGGCTTCTTCATCAATCAATAAACACTGTAGTTAATAATACTTTCCTTATCCAATTATAAGAAAACTTATGAATACAATTAAATGCATACAGTGATACAGAATTTCATTTCAACGAAGTGTTAAAATTTGTTGAGTCATGCGACCGATAATGTTTGATGATGAGTCATGAACAGGAAGTAAAAGGTACCTTCTGAGTCCATCGAAGATTCACTTCCATGACCTGAAAAAAAATGTAATAAATATATTTACATCAGCTTTTGATACAAATATGAACTAGTTTATACTTTGATAAAACGTTTTTAGTTTACCTGCAGAACTTCCCGCTGTTCCATAATTCCCCCCACCTCCCGCTGACTGACTGCTGGAAGCTGCAAATGAACCCAAACCGTCATCTAGTTGAAATGCACTTATAGTAAGTCGCTTTAGATAAAAGCGTCAGTTGAAAAAAGTGACATGTAAAAATGTGTATTAAAAAATTAATATTTGTGTCTTCTGTATATAAAGTTATGACATTATTGTGACAGATTCATAGATATAAGTAATATGTTAAAGTTCAGGATTACAATGTGGCTGCACCACAAAAAGAATACTTTGTCGGCCGGTTATTTTGTTGTGTTTATCCACCACACCTCCAAGACCGGTCCGCAAAATATCGTCCAAACATGAAAAATGGTCCATGAGGCAAAAAAGGTTGGGGACCCCCTGTGTTGAAGGTTAGGGATATAATATATATTCATCTTATATGACTCATGAGTTTATCATCCATTTGATCATATCCTAGTTTGTTCAGCTGCATGTTTTCTGACTCCTAAAATGATCAGCTCATTACCCTCAGCTGGCCCTCCTGGCCCTTTTCACCTGCGGCACATCCCCCCATCAGCCACTCACATTTAAGCCCATTTAAATCCTATTAGCCTGTTATCTGTTTGTTCTGACCTTGCACGACCACAGATTTGTTCTCCTGTTTTACTGTCCTCCTGGTTCCAACATGCCTGTCCACAGCACTGGACTCTATGCCTTCCCCTCTGGATTTGTTTTCCTATTGACTGATATTCCGGTTTTGACCCTTGCTGAACATCGAGACATGTCGAGATTGTTTTATTGATTTTTAGCAAGAGTTGTTTTATTTGCATTTTTGGCATATCTCCCCTCTCTCCCGGCTGGATTCCAATTACCGCGGCCATTATATAACTAACCTGGGCCAGCAGGTTCAGGAACAGCTTCTTCCCTGCTGCTGTCACCCTGCTGCCCCTGCCCCCCTCCCATTGACACATGACCTTCCAGCTGCTGAACATTCTGCACTTATTATTATGCCGTATTTGCACAATTATGCCATATTTGCACAACTTGCACTACCTTGTAATTCATATTTACAACCCTGCTGCTTAATGTATATACTGATACTTCAATGTATATTTCACACTGTACATTTATTTATATATACTTTGCACTTTATCTGCTCTCACACTTCTGGTTGGCTGCTAAACTGCATTTTGTTGTCTCAGTACCTGTACTCTGTGCAATGACAATAAAGTTGAATCTAATCTAATAAGACAGGCAACACATCCAGGGAGGGCAGAGCGAGAGAGGGAAGCACAGCGTGGGCAGAGCGAACACCGGGAAATGAAGCACGACAAAGAGAGCACTAGAAGTGACCACAGATGAGAGGAGGCCATGGGAACAACAGGCGGCGGTGTCCATAAAAGTAAGAAGAGCCCTAGGAGAGACAAGCGGCTAAACCAGAGGAACCAGCTGGACCCTGACGACCCTCCCAGTGGCCGGCTTTTTATATGGTGTCAAACTCTTTGATTTTGTAGAAAATCCCCTTTTAACTGCAATCATTTTATGGTGTTTAGAGTAGAAATAACATTGAATGTACTTCTTTGTGATCCATGCTGCTCTCCCCCCAATACAAAATAACTTGTTTTTATGAAGATCTAGACTCCCCAAACTAGATGGTGTTATTTCCAACTTTATATTTTATATATATTGTTATATTGATCCATCTGTGTCTCAGTCATGTTTTTGGGTACCAGCGTGCATTGGCACCAGTAACCGTTATGGTTATACATATTAATCTTCTATTGATTCATGTCCTAGGGACTAGTTATAAAATATGTCAGATATCTCACCGCTCATATCCTGAATGTTAGACGACATAGCTGCTGCAACACCTGCAGTGAAAAAACCCAGTTGTGATGCGATCAAACAAAACATTCAGCATTAAGTGTTGATCCACACTATTGGCTCACAAGGTTTGTCATCATCCAGAGGGATATAATATAAGATAGAACTGTGTCTCTAGTTGATCAGAATCTGAGAATAAGAACACAAGGAATGTGACTTAGGTTGATTTCAATGTTGAACATAGCTCACCTTCTCATAACTGACATATACAATCCTGCTGACAATAACTGCTATGAACAAATACAAATGTGAACACAAATATTTGAATCAGAAGGAGGCCACAAGGAAAGTTGAATACAGAGTCAACATGAACATAACCAGTGAACTAGTCTGTATGGCCAGTCAGCGGGGAAAACATGGCTTCAACACAGGACTAATTTGTTTTATCCTGAAACCTGCAGCATTAATAAGAGACCTGCCGTAACAACTGAAGAACTGCAGAATCAGGATTACTGTGCAGGCTGCTAAGACTTCAGGATGTGGCTCTGACTGAATTAGGTTAACCCTCAGGGTACCCCCCCCCAGTCAAATTAAAGGAAACATGAACCAAAGTCTGATCATGGTCGACTCACCTGAACCGCCAGATGCCGCCGCTGTGGTGGTCTGCCGCTCGCCAGCAACTCCTGCAGAATGGGAAGGAGGAAGACAGAGTGTCATATGTCGAAGATGAATATAACTTGTTTCAATCAGATGAAGAACGTTTATTAAAGATATAATCAATGGGTGAGGGCATCAGTGGCATTAAATGGAGCAAAGAATCACTCAGAAGGAAAGCCGAATAAGAAGTCTTCAATTCATAGAAATTTGTGAAATGAATAGGTTGTTATGATTGTCCAGTGCCTTGTATTTAATAACTCTGAGTCTGAAAACTAAGATCTTTATTTAAATATTTTCATTAATAAGGTCACCTGTTTCATTTAAATGTTGGTGGTGTTTATGCAGGTTTACGTTGGGAGTTAGAGGTCGAAGGTCACAGTGTGTTTTAGTGTCTCACCCTCAATCTTATCCTGACTCTTGGAGTCATCATCATCTGGAAAGGAAAAACATTTAAAATGTATTTATCTAATTAAAGATATTTTGACAACATTTTACATATTGGAATGATAAAGAATATGATCTTTTTGTTCCTTGCCTTTTTTTAAATTGTTATATGTCACTTTGACCATGACATAACATTTTCCCACCTAAATCATTGTTTTTTGCTGACTTTGTATTCATCTCTTATGATACAATTTTCTGACACCTTTGTTTTGGTCTCTTTGACTTTACATTTCTGGTCTTTGTCTTTATTGCCACACGTGATATTATATTACATATTTAAATGCACATAACACACCTTCAGACTAGTATGCTAAGTGCCTAAGTGAAACTCCCTCTCATACCGCATTATCATCTTTAAATTTAATTATGTCAAACCTTTTAATGTCACATTGCAGCAATAAAATAAAGAGGAGTTCGGAATTATTTACCACTTCTAGTATTTTGCTGAATAATATATAACCCACTTCCTGTTACTTCCCTCATTGCTTGCTTTCTGCGTGACAATCCCAAAACAAGAACATTGAGCTAATTTGATGAAAAATTAGCGGCCACATCCTCCAACTCGTCCCACCTGGAAAATAAAGTGCATAGGAGTCATGAGATTGATGAATGAAGTGTGTAGGATTACTTCAATTGAAGGGTGACGTGTCTAGGACTCATGCTATTGATGAATGAAGTGTGTAGGAGTCATCTGATTGATGAGTAAAGTGTGTCAGAGTAATGTAATTGAAAAGTGAAGTGTCTAGGAGTCATGTGGAAGCTGATTGAACAGCAGAGTCAAATGAAACGACTCAAATGACACGCCATGATATACAGTATTGGTAACTTGGTATATCAAACTATGATCAATTATCATTTAGAGCAGAGGTCACTAACTGGCGGACTGCGGTCCGGATCTGGACCCAGAAGCCGGCCCATCCGGACCCGGACCAAAAGCTATAAAAAGATGGTTGTGATTTAAACGTGACACTTTTCGACTGACGCAGCTTTGGACTTAAAGCACAGACCAATTGCATTCGAGTTAAACTATCCCACGTGATACTACTCGACTAATCGGGTCTTGGCATTCCAGGCAGGATGATATCGTCTCAATACTGTGGACAGACGAGAGAGGTAGCGGCAAATGACAAAAAAAAGATGGTAGGAAGAAAAGGAAAGATGGCGAAATTTAAGAAAAAGACGAGTGGGATGGAAAAAGCAAGAGAAAGAGTGAGGAAAATTAGGAACAAATGGGGGGGGGGAGAAAAGTGGAGCGAAAGTAGAGCATTTAATCCTGAATAGACGGTTTCTGTTCATACTTCCCACTGCAGGACTAAACCAGTGTCTCATATGCTCAGAACCCGTTGAAACGCCATCATGAGGCGCAATGAGCTCCTCCACGTGAGGAGGAGAACGGCCCTGATGCATTCAGGCCCAGGTTTAACATCCTGGCAGGAAAAACTAGATCTTAATTCTCCCACTTTACTATTTATCATTTGCTCATACTGTCAAGTCCAAATGTGAAGCAGAAAAGGGGTAATTCAAGTTTATCGTCCCGTTATTTTATTTTTTCTGAATTGAAGCACTTGAATATGCAGACATTTTCACATTTTTTAATTTTTTTAAATTTTGTTAATCGAGAGAACATTATTTATATTTGCAGTCACACATATATGTTCAGTTCTTTGTTACGTAGCAATAAATATTGTCAAAAGAGTTTTATAATCGTACTAAATTCATTTGATTGGTTAGTTGTGTATTGATTAAATGAAGATTTTGATACAACTACACTCTATTTAATCACCCTAAATAGTCACATTATGATCCTCTGGACCTTTGCTTCTAGAAATTTTCTCTAACTGGACCTCTTCACATTTTAGTTGAATACTCCTGATTTAGAGTATCAGACCTTTTTTCAAAACCCTCTCTTTTACTCAAACAGGTTATGTAAACCACGGTTATCCCCAACCACCATTTTTTTTTTTTCTTTAAAATGACCGGATTTTCTCCACTACATGTGCTTGTCCCTCTTGACATATTTGCCAAGCGTCAACGATAACTACCCCGTGTTGGCATTGCATTTATTTTCTAGACCGGTCCTCGAAATACCTTCTGACATGAAACCGGTCCATGAGGTAAAAAAAAGGTTGGGGACCCCTGATGTAATCCGTACAGAAACAGTTTTTTCAAAATAAAAGCATAATTTCCTTTAGAGAAGCTATCATTTCAAAATAAAAACAGGTTCACCTCCTACTTAATGTGTATATCTAAACTTTGTAGAAGCTTTCTCTAAAAGTATGTTTGTCTCTCCTACTCAAACAGTTTATATGAATTATAAGGAAGCTTTCTTTTCAAAATAAAAGCCGTTTTCACACTCTTTTACTCTTTTACACCCACAGAGACGCATGCCTACCCTCCTCCTCCTCTGACAGCTCCCCCTCTTCTGTGGCCTCCACCTCCACCTCCTCCTGCTCCTTCTCTGGAGAACACAACAAATCTCTGTTGAATCTTAGAAAAGGTGACATTTAGACCAGAGAAGATGTGAGAGATATGAGAATGAATACCCTCCACGGGAGCCATGGAAACAGTTGTTGCCAGAAAGAGGACCAGCGACACAATGAACAGGTTACTGTCATAACAGAGCAGACGGATGGTGGAAGTCAATGATTGGCCTTCTGTTGTACACAATAAAGACTAATAATCAGTTAGAGTCAATTGAAAATATTAATACATTTCCACACTAGCCAAACCCTGTTTTAAGGTCTTTACAAATACATATTTTGACTTCCTCTGACTATCACATCAGTAAAAGAAAAAAAGAGTACTTACTTGTACTTACGACGTACTAGTATTACAACTGTGTTGGAGTATTTTTCTCTTACTACTGTGTTGGAGTACTTTAGCATTACAACAGAGCAAAGTTGTGCAGTAATGACATTAGGGAGAGTCAGAATAGTAAAAGTATTACTACAAAAGTGCAGATTAGGATTTTAATTTAGTATTACTACAATAGATTTATGGTAAAACTACAGTATGGAGTATCAAAATACTTTTGTATTACTACAGTAGAATAACATGACTTTAATATAACTACAGTAGTGCTAGAGTACTTTGGAATAGATAGAAAACTGAAAATTATGACAGTATTTTTATATAACTACTGTAATATAAGTAGTACGACAGTAAACTACAGTACTACAGAGTATTACACTGTGTATTACTACAGTAGTAAGGATGATTTACAGTTTTGAGTTATTACGAAACTAGTGCAGTATTATAGTATTGTACTACTTTGGTTTTGATACAATAGTGCAGAATATTACACAAGATTTCACAAGATTACAGGTGCAGTACCAGTACCTGTAGTAATAAAGGCATTGACAGTATTATTCTTAGCATCATTATTAATATAAAGTATAACTCACGTTGGCAGCATGCTGATGTTTAAGATTCTTTCTGTTGAACAGGAGATGCAGAAAAAGACGTGCAGCTCCTCCTTCACACATTCCTATTTATAGAGAGACGAGGGAGGGGCTGCATTTACTACACATGAAAGTACTGCAACACACTATTACCACTACTACTACTACCGAATCTACTACCAATGCTACTACTAATACTGCAACATTCTGCTGCTACTACTACTGAATCTACCAGAAATGCTATTACTACAACTGCAACGTGCTGCTGCTGCTACTACTACTACTACTACTACTACTACTGAATCTACTACCACTACTACATTTCTGATATACCAAACGTGATCAGTAGAGCTGGTTTGTGTTTATTGTGTTGAGTCCTCGTTACTCTACATACTATGAGTCACAACTTTCATACCTTTTGTTTAGTGCTGAAAGGTTTAAAGCTTCATTCAATGATTAGATGAGCAATTGTTTCTATGTTTATCCTATCCAATCACAAAATGTCAGAAGAAACGGGTCAAAGGTGTTTGTAAAGTCCAAAAGAAATATTTGTGAATTAATGTTTATGTCCAAAAATACTTCAACAATAGTTTTCACTATTGAAAACCCTGCTCATTTACTAGGATTGGTGTTTTTTTTAAACGGAGTTCACTGGCAAGGACCACACCACAAACTGAATGCGTTTAACAATTTTATTTGGGAGACATGGGCGATAGGATTGTGACTCGATTCTATCTAGTTGGATGGGTTGTGGGGAGCTGCATGGCGCCTGGGCACGACGAACCGCTTCAGGAACCTACGAAAAAAAGGGGAGTGAAAAGGGGGCTGGGAGAGTGGGGTTTGGAATGCGTCAACGGGACGGGAAGAGTGGGTTAGGGAGGTGTTCACGGGGATAATGGTAAAGGCGCGTTGGAAGCGTGGTCCTGCTCCCAAAATTAGGGGAATTACCTTGAATTTTGGTAAAACAGTCTTTTTCTGAGAGTCATGAAGAAGAAATACAGCACAACATACAGCACAACATTCAAGCTGAATTTTCATGTGTGTGTTACTTTGTATGTGTGTGTTACTGTGTGTGTCTGTCTGTGTGTGCCTGGGTTACCATGTGTGTGTGTTACTGTGTTTGTGAGTGTGTGTTATTGTGTGTTTGTTGGTTACTGTGTGTGGTCGAACCTAGAGGACATATAGAAAGGAAACTTTATTAAAGGGAAATTGAGCTGCAGATTACAAGTTGCCAACATTCCTCTGAACTGGATCCGTAATACCCCCCTCCCATCAGCACCCCCCTTCCTTCCTACACACACTTCCTGTCGTTCCTCCAACACTGCTTCACTTCATAGAAAATGCATATTGTGTTCTGTAAATTTCTGGAGTGTCTCCACCAACAAAAGTCATTCTAATATGTCAAACAGATTCTTACAGTTACATTCAGTTAATGTGTAGCAAAACTACCATTGTACGTGTCTGTGTGTCTGTACCATTATACATCTGTATGTGTGTGTATACATATGTGTGTGTGTGTGTGTGTGAGTGCATATATTTGTATGTGTGTGTACCAACATTTTGTATGTGTGTGTGTGTGCACGTATGTGGGTGTACATACATTTTTATGTTTGTGTGTGTACATACATTGTATGTGTGTGTACACGTGTGTGCATGTGTGTGTGTGCGTATATGTGTGTATGTGTGTGTTTATACAGAAATTTGTATGTGTGTGCGTGTATGTGTGTGTACACGTGTGTGTGTGTGTGTGTGTGTATAAGTGTGTGTGCGTGTACATAGACTACACACTACACAAAAAGTATACCGTGCAAATTTATTTATTTGTTAGCGTACGTGTGTGTGTGTGTGTGTGTGTATATACATTTGTATGTGTGTGTGTGTAAATGTATGTGTGTCTACGTGTGTGTGCACATATGTCCGTGCAAGTGTACGTTTGTGTGTATGTGTGTTTCTTTTAAATCAATTTCCAGCACAGCTGAGGTTTTATCTGTGTGTTCCATTGTGTACATCAGGCTGTGTATCACGCGGCGTCTTTTCAGTGTGACACGCTACAGAACCCACTGACCCTCTGAGGTGGTACTTTGAGCTGCCTGTTGTCTGTGGGAATCGGGGCAGAACATGAGTCTGCATCTGTCTGCTGCAGCACATCCTGAAACCAGAACCCAGCTGGAGCTGAGTTGGACTCTGGGATCAGGTCCAGAGAAGGAATTAAGGGTACTTTGAGGTATAGTCGGTCCGGCTCAGTTCTGAATGACTGCAACTCACCTGGACCTTTTGATCCTGATGTCTGACTGAAACCAAGAGCTGTGGGACAGGCGAGTAACGTGAACCCAGCGGGACTCAAGAGTTACACAAATCTAAACTATGCAGATATAAAAGAAATGAAAATAAAAATGTAAGACATAATGACTTTACAGAATATCAGTTGTATTGAATGTATCATATTATTACCTGCCTGTGTTGCCTGTACACAATAAATAGGGTCATCAACAAGAAAACACACATGAAATAAAACGCAGTTCCAGAGTCAGAGAGAGACACTCACCTCAATGACATCAATTCACTATAATTTGGTATCAGGATCAAAATATAGCATGATCATATGATTAATGAATAGTTTATTACTATATAATTATAGCCCCATTGTTGCAGTTGGTGCAGTTCATATTTAGGTAACTTCTGAATCCTTAGAATCTTACTTCTTTCTCCTCTGCTCAGGTGCATGTCTCATGTTCGGGTAAATCTATTCTCACAGATATCCAGCTATCAACTTTTCCACTCTGAAACTCACCAAAAAAAGGAACATTCTACACACACCCCTTTTCATTGTTTCTTATTCCATGATGTGTGTGGAAGAGAGTCAGTTGACCTCTAATGACCCACGGTCAGTTTTCATTCATCGTATGAGGGAAACTTAATCTGCTCAATCTCAGGACTCAGTCTTCCATACCAGCGACCTGTGGCAGCAGGTAACGTGACTCCTCCCCCTCCACTACACTTGTTGGTGAATGTTGGTTATGGGCTGTGTTGTTGTTAAACCAGTAGTGTTGGTAAAATGCCGCACTTTTATTGATTTAGAGCTTCCTGCAATCTTCCTTCCTGCAAGATGTTGAAGTGTGGTTTTTTTATCTGCGTTGTGGCAAATTTGTTTTAATGTTATCAAACCTTCAACAATTTTATGAACTTTTTTCAGTAAAATGATGGAGTGTCTCCATGTAGTTTAAGAGTACACAATGGTACTAACTAGGGGTGTAAAGATTCATTCACTGAATCGATTAATCGATTTATATTCCTGCGATCCAACTGAATCGATCTGTGCAAATCGGCATTCCGGACGACATATATCGATTACAAATCAATTGAAATGGTACATAATTGATATAATCGATATCGATACTTGGAAACTGCACATTGGATTTAAGTACAAAAACACCATGGATGTGTGTTTGTTTGTTTGTTTTTTAGCACTTTAGACACGTTAAACGTGACTGGATTCAGTCTGCCTGTCTGTGACGTCATCAGTACGCAGCGGCAGCCGCGCGAAACTCTGAACAACAACAAAACACAGCGTGGAGGAGACGACTGCGAGCGAGACATTTACAAACCAACTCATCGATCCAGCGCGTGGAAACATTTTGGCTTTTGCAAACACGGAGGTGTTCTAAATAAGTCGGTCGCTGTTTGTAGAATATGTAGAAGCCAAATAAAAAACCACGGAAACACGACGAATCTTTCCAGCCATCTACTAAGGCGCCGTGGGATTAAACAACGCCGACAGTCAGGACCTCTAGCAGCGTCACCGCTGCAGCAGCAGCAGGTAACTCCAACTCTGCAGACACCTCCGGCCTCGCCAGCACCAAACTCAACATCACAGTAACCATTGCAGTTTATGTGTAAAGACATGCGACCCTACAATGTGGTTGAAAATCCGGGGTTTTGTAAATTGATCCAAACATTGTGTAATTATTGAGTAATGTTTACATTGAAAATGGCACTTGATTCAAATAAAAGGTTAATACATTTGCCATTAATTGTTGTTTGCTTGTTTATAATATCCATAATTAATTTAAACCTGATTTCCTTACAAGAAACAACAGGGATCTCGGAAACTTTGCCTGCACTGTCCAGTAAAGTTACTCAATCGATTTCAAGTCACTTAATCAAATCGAATCGAATCGTTCTAAATTAACCCAGATCGTCCATGAATCGAATCGGCAACCCTGTATTGCGATTCAAATCGAATCGTTGTTAAAATGAATCGTTACACCCCTAGTACTAACTTGTCTTCATGTAGTTTAACATGAGACACGGTGGTAGTAACTCAGTGTTAATTTTGGCAGCTGTTTTTGATTTAGTCTTAGTTTTAGTCTTTAGACGAAAAATGCATATTAGTTTTAGTCACATTTAGTCAATTTAATCCTTCTTTGTTTTGGTCTAGTTTTCGTCAACGAAAACTAATTACATTTTAGTCTAGTTTTAGTCGACGAAAACTAGACTAAAATGTAATTAGTTTTAGTCACATTTAATAGCCATATTAAACTCCTTTTCTTCCCTTCTCAGGCCCAGGGACCCCTGTGTTGTGTCTACAACTGCATAATAGTCTACCTTGCGGTACTCGGTTGTCCATTAGATGTCCCTCCTAGGACAGGTCTATAGCAGGTCGGCAAACTTTCTGACTCGCGGCCACAATGGGTTGTAAAATGTGACGGAGGAGCCGGGCCAAGAACAAATGGTTGAAGTGTTTGTGTGAGCGAATATAAATGACATGTGAAAAATCATTACATGAAAGGATTTGGATTTTAACAAATAGCAAAGCATTTATTTGCAAGTCAATTTAACAAATTGGCAACGGTGTAACAACTTCATGAGGACCAGGGATCTAAACGCAACACTTTGTTGTCTTTGTCTGTTTACTTGCAATGCTTTTGAAACTTCATGGTCATTTATTGTTTCCACTGTGAAATTGCTCGTCCCAACAAAAGAGACCCCTTAACGTCCTACAATCGTTGCAATACATTATTTTCTTGCAATGAGTTTATTACGTTAGACGTGTTTGTAACGGAGCGTCTCA